TGACGGTTTTCTCTCCTAGAATGATTTATCTGTCTCTGTCCTGCTAAGTTCTTAATAAAAGAGTGTTTAAAAAAAAAGCGTCATGATACCAATCCAAAAGCAAGTGGTTCAGACCCACTAGGTGTTCCATGGGAGAAAGATGACCAGTCTCTTCCCGTGCAATTTACATCCTCTGAAAACCTGCTAGAGGGTCAACTTTGGGTTGGTTCTCACTGGAGAGCACATAAAGACAACTCTATCATTGCCTTTGCTAAGCACAGAAGTTACAAAGATAACTGATGAAACAGTTTGAGCTCTGTGTTCATGGAGTTTGTCTTAAACTAAGAAAAACTGTTCTTTCTCTTGGGCTTGGATCAGGCGGCAGCCAGGTTCTGTCGCTCAGCCACGGCCAAAATCAAGGCTCGGGACCTTCGCGGCAAGAAGGAGGAGGAGGAGCTGTTGAAACAGCTGGATGATCTGAAAGTCAAGCTTTCCCAGCTGCACGTCGCCAAAGTGACAGGTGGTGCGGCTTCTAAGCTCTCCAAAATCCGAGTTGTCTGAAAATCCTTTGCCGGTGTTCTCACTGTTATTAACCAGACTCAGAAAATCCTATAAGGGCAAGAAGTACAAACCCCTGGATCTGCGGCCCAAGAAAACACGCGCCATGCACTGAAGACTCAAGAAGCACGAGGAGAAACTGAAAACCAAGAAGCAGCAGCGAAGAGTGCCTATACCCACTGCGGAAATATGCAGTCAAGGCCTGAACTTCTTAAATAAAATACAAAACGAAAAAAAAAAAAACAACAAAAAATAAAAAATGGGAAAACTAACAATAAATAAACATCAACCTGGTATCTTGTTAAGTGCGGTCAAGTCACTTGTGACTCATAGCAACCCTATGTACAACAGTTCTAAACCCTGTTCTATCCTGTGACAATCTTATTGTCTCTAACACACCTACACCCATTACCATACTCACTGAATCAATCCATCTTATCAAGGGTCTTCCTCTCTTGTGGTGTCCCTCCACCATCCCAAGCATGATATCTGCTCCAAAGACTGGTCCCTCCTTGCAACATGCCCAAAGTATGTCAGACGAAGCTTCAGAATCATTTCCTCCAAGGAGTAGCCTGGTTTCACCCTCTCTAGGGTGAACCTGTTTGTTCTCCAAGCATTTAGGTGATTAAAAATGTGACAAATGCTAAATCGCTCTAGCTAAAAGATGTCACATTGGAATGTGAAGGCAATGGAGCAGGCTGGAGGGCCAGAGCTAATGGTGAGTGATCTTCATTCCACTTTTATTAGAACTGTAGGGTAAGACCATAGTCTTCGCAACTGCTTGCTATGCGTCAGAGAGCTGGGCAATGACTAGGGAGGATAGAAAGAGAATTGATGCCTTTGAACTGTGGTGCTGGAGAAGAGTATTGAATATACCATGGACTGCCAGGAGAACAAAAGGGTTCATCCTAGAGAGGGTGAGACCAGGCTGCTTGGGGGCAAGAATTCTGAGGCTCCGTTTGATAAACTTTGGACATGCTGCAAGGAGGGACCAGTCCTTGGAGAGGGACATCATGCTTGGGAGGGTGGAGGGATAGTACAAGAGAGGAAGACCCTGAATGAGATAGATTGATTCAGTGACTGAGGTAATTAGGGTAGGTGTGTCAGAGACAGTAAATTTGGCACAGGATATAGCAGGTTTCAGGGCTATTGTACACAGGGTTGCTATGAGTCGCAAACACCTCAGGAGCACATAACAATAACAAATGGTAAGAATCAAAGGCCCCAAGGAGCTCTGGTGGCCTAGTGGCAAGAAGCTGCACTGCATTCCCAGAGGTTGTTATGTGCCGTTGAGTCGCCTGCGACTCATAGCGACCCTATGTACAACAGCCCTAAACTCCGCTCTGTCCTGTGCCAATCGCACTGTCTCTGACACTCCCATCCCAATTATCCCAATCACTGAATCAATCCACCTCATAGAGGGCCTTCTTCTCCTGCACTGTCCCTCCACCCTCCCAAGCATGATGTCCCTCTCTAAGGACCGGTCTCTCCTCACAACATGTCCAAAGTATGTTAGACGGAGCCTCAGAATCCTTGCCTCCAAGGAGCCACCTGGTTTAACCCTTTCCAGGATGAATCTGTTTGTTTTCCTAGCAGTCCATGGTATTCTCAATACTCTTCTCCAGCACCACAGCTCAAAGGCATCAATTCTCCTTCTATCCTCCTTGGTCACTTTCCAACTCTCTGATGCATAACAGGTGATTGCGAAGACCATGGCCTGTATCAGACGCACCTTAGTCTCCAGAGAGACACCACTGCTCTTCAGCACTTTGGAGAGGTCCCTAACAGCAGACTTTCCCATTGCAATGCGCCTTTTAATTTCCTGGCTGCTGGTGCCAAGACTGTTGACTATGGAGCCAAGCAAACTAAAGCTGTGTACAATCTCAATCTCTTCACCATCCATCCTGATGCTGCCGATTGGTCCAGTGGTGAGAATCTTTGTCTTCTTGACATTGAGCCTCAATCCATATTGCAGGCTGCAGTCCTTGACACTCTGCAGCAGGTGCTTCAGGTCCTCCTCAGTTTCAGCAAGCAGGGTTGTGTCATCCTCATAACGCAGATTGTTGATAAATCGTCCACCCAATCTTGACCCCACATTTCTCCTCATAGAGCCCAGCCTCCTGGATAATCTGTTCTGCATAGAGGTTGAAAAGGTATGGAGATAGGATGCATCCCTGGCGTACGCCAGAGTTACGCGGTTGGAATCCACCAGATGCTCTGCTGGAGAAGGAGGAACAATCTCCTCCTGTACCAGTCAGATCCGATTTGAGAGTACACACACACACACAAAAGAATAAGAGGCTCCAACAAGAGAGTTGGAACAATGTAGTCTTGCTCATACTATCAAAGGAGAGAAATGCTTGTGATCCCAGGGAAGCCTGCTTAGTCATGGCCTTGGCAGTGGGACTGAGAAACACACACATAAACACACACACACACACATGCACAAGCCAGAACACTACACCTTCCACTTCCTCTCACGCATGTACTAGTCTACACATGCACATCTCCATCATAACCATGACCGTTACTCCCAGCCTCACATCCTATTGTATATACACACCTCACACAAATATATACACACAGGCCACCATACCGGGCTGGCTGCTGCTCCACTCCTCACTCTCTGGGGTGCTGGTGATGGGCTGTTCCTCTGGATCCTTTTCTTCTTGCTTTTCCTGTAGAAAGCAAGCCTGATCCCAGCTTTCGGTCCATGCAGGCCGGGCAAAAGCTCTGGTCTGATATCTGGCCTCTGCCTGGATCTCTGGCTACATGGCATTCTGCCCTCAGTGCTTAGAACTGGCAGGAACACGGCTGCAGAGGACAAGCCCCTACCACCTGGGCCCAAACACACAGCCTCGTTACAGAGTGTCTTCACTCCTGGGTAGGGAATCTGAAGACACCGGCATGTGTCCTCTGTTGATGGGATCTGCCTCCTAGAATCTTCATGCACTGTGTCCTCCATCTCTCAGCAGCCAGACTCCTGTACCCTCTGGTCTCTGCACGAGCTGTTGGACACCAGTAATGACGCTTTCCATCTCCTGCACATCTACCCTGGCTGCCAGCTCATGTGAGTTTGGCTTGGCTTAGATGAGAGTGTCCAAAAAAGCAGGACAGTGATTTATTCCCTTCCCTCCACCCAGGACCAGGACTTGACTGAGGATGGGCCCCCAGCTGATGACAGATAACTCATTGTGGTTCTCTGTCCCTCTCTCTCAGATGACCTGGACGGATGGAAGGGGCAGTGGGAATCACAGCATGTCCTCTGGCCACCCCGCCCCCTTCTTCTCCGCCCCTTCCTACCATGACCTCTGGCTCCGAGTCCTCCTCTGATGGGCTCTGGTATTCCCTGCACTTCCGCTTCTTCATGGGTTTGAGCAGTTCAGAAGTGCTGGTGCCGCCTGAGGAGTTCTCCACTATGACTGACCTGAGAGGGAGGGGCAGCCTGAGGGAAAACCCACCTGGCCCAGCCCACCCAGTCCCTCTCGGAAGCCCCAACAGGGATGGGCCTTTAGGGAACTACAGTGGGGACAAGTAAGGCTGTGACTGGCTCCCCCTTACCGCTCCTGGAAGAGCTGGGAGCAGCCATCGTTTGAGGATCCAAGGTCTGGGCTGGTGACGAGCTGGGGTCCGCAGGCCTGGCACTGACAGGCGGCATCATCCTCTGGAGGGTCCTGAGAAACATTTTCTGGAGGGTCCTGTGGGAGGTCCACTGTGGGAACCAAAAGGATCTGAATTTTCCCACACATCACGACCAGACCCTTAAATTCTTGTTCCCACCTGCTCAGGTTGCCAACTGGCTCAGCTGCTATAGCCAGCCCCCCTTCAGCACCACCCCCAGGGCCATACCTCAGAGCTACACCTGGCAGAAACTCCTCTGGCCCGGCCCCATCCCTCTGACTCCTCAGACCTCAACCTTTGCCCTAGGAACCAGCTTGGGACTTGGGGAAAGGAACTCCATTGTGTGAATATACCACAGTTTCTCTATCCATTAGTTTGTTGATGGGCACTTAGGTTGTTTCCAACTCCTTGCTATTGTGAACAAAGCCGCAATAAACATGGGTGTGCACATATCTTTTTGGATGTCAGTTATGGTCTCTTTGGGGTATGTTCCCAGTAGTGGAATTGCTGGGTCAAATGGTATTTCTATTTGCAACTTTTTGAGAAAGGGCCATACTGCCTTCCACAGTGGTTGCACCATTTTACACTCCCACCAACAGTGAATAAGGGTTCCAGTTTCTCCACAACCTCGCCAGCATTTGTTGCTTGTTGTTCTGTTAAATTTTGCTATTCTGACTGGGGTAAGATGATAATTTCATAGTTGTTTTGATTTGCATCTCTCTAAGAGCTAGGTAGGGATTTTGAACATTTCTTCATGTGCTTTTTGGCCATCTGAATGTCTTCTTTGGTGAAGTGTCTGTTCATATCCTGTGCCCATTTTTCTATCGGATTATTCACCTTTACCTTGTTGTGGTGCTCAAGTATTTTATAAATTCTGGATGTAAGTCCCTTATCTGATATGTCGTTACCAAATACTTTTTCCCAGTCTGTGGCTTCCCTTTTTACCCTGTTGGAGAAGTTTTTCGATGTGCATTGGGATTTGATTCTTAGAAGGTTGGGGAGAGGAACTCATACCCGGCTGCTGGTGGGCTGGCTCGCCACCTCCCGCTGAAGCCTCGCCCTGCTCATATTCAGCCAGTCCTTCCTGCCGCAGCTCGGGGCTCTGAGGACGCTCCGCTCCCACCATGGCCAGTGGCGCGTACTCGCTGAGCCGGAACTGGAGCGCACGAAAAACGCATCAGAACGGTGGTCCCAGGGCCCACCTGAGCATCTCCTCGCCTCAGCCACGCCCCCAGAGACCCAAAGCCCAGGCCACTCAATCCAAACCCCGTCCCCGTTCCCCATTCGTCCTCAGGTGCCCTAGTGCCAAGTCCGCAGGACACATCCCTCCTAAGTCCTGAGGGTCCAGCAACCTGCAAGCTTTCGCTTCTGGGCATCCCGCCCAAAGCCACGCCCCCAGATCTCCATCTCCTCCCCTCCACGCCGTTAGGACCGCAAGTGCCTGGTCCCACCCCAAACTACCTCACTCCAAACCACACCCCCAGAGACCCTAAGTCAGGAATCCCTCCCTGCAAGTCCTACCCTAGGATCACATCTCAGCTCCATCTCAGGCTCCGCCCCTGGCTCCCTAGGCCCCGCCCCACTGATGCAGGCGGCAGGGTCCAGCCAATCCCTGCAGGCACTGACCCGCAGGCTGCTCCCAGGAGGTGGGGCCGCAGCCTCGGTCCACTCTAGGAGACGCACGGTGCTGGCACTGGAGCTGGCTGTAGGCCCCGCACTTAGCTGGGGCAGCACGGTGGCCGTGACGGGTTCGCTGCCGGCTGGCCGATCCGGGGCACCCATATGGATTGGCTCTCGGGGGAAGCAGGACACATCTAGGGTGCTGCTGGGCAGACTGAGGGTGGCCGAGCTGGCTGCAATCACAGGGACAAACACAGGTGAGCCTGGTGGCTTTGCCCCAATCCTGCCCAGCATGTCGGGGCAGGCGAAAGGAGACATCCTTTGCCAAGGAAATGCCCCTCCGCCCTAAGACCCTTGGCTTGGCCCACCTGGGATGATGAAGGCGGTGGTGGGCAGGTGAGGGCCTGAGCCTGAGCTGTCTCTGGCCACCAGGTGGACGCTGACCTCCCCTGTGGAGGGCCCCTTCAGTGTCCTCAGCATCTCCATTTCAGCGTGCCCCTCCATTCTGGAAGATCTACAAGCAGAACACAGCCCTCAAGGAGGTCAAGGGTGGAAGGGGGCTTGAGGGGTACTGGCCACCCCCAGCCTAGCCAGCAACCTGCAGAGGCAAAACACCTCAGTCTTAAGAGATTGGAGGGTCTCCAGAAACTAGCCTCAGGCCTGGCTCCTGGCTCCACCCAGGCTTGCCGTTAGGGCAAGAATATAATTTCCTCCTTCTGTTAAGAGGCCAGGGAGCACTGGTGGCCCAGCATAGGGAGAGGAAAGGGCGATGTCCTCCCATGCAATTTACAGTCTTGGGAACGCAATGGAGGATCCACTATGGTGGGTTCTGACTCGACTTCCAATAAGGGAGAGGGATGAGGGAGTGAGTTCAGAGGCTGGGAAGGTGGAAAGTGAGAGACCTCGCTGCTGGGGAGGTGGCTGATGGCAACCGTCCTCCAAGTTCCTGCTCTCGGCATTGAAAGCCCTCAGCCAAGGGAGCCTTCCCAACTTCCTTCCTTCCTTCTGGACACAAATGACTAGTTCCTACAGGTACAAAGGGCCTCCCACTCCTTTGCCTCGGGTTTGAGACCCCGGAAGGGGGTGATGGAGGGGTTAAGTGCTTAGCTAACTGAAAAGTTGGCAGTCTGATGCCACCAGCCATCTCTTGGGAGAAAGATTAGCTGTACAAAGATTAAAAGGAAAGCAAAACCCTCAAGCTCACTGCTACACTTCAGAAGTGATTCCATAACTGATTCTGCAAGGAGATTGCCTGTCTCCCTCAGCAGTCACTAGTGGATTCAGACATGGAGAGAGCCAAGGCCTTTGAGTTAGCAGCCTAACTCCCCATAGACTACAACTCCCCTGCACAACAGATTTGGAAAGCCCATGGGGCAGTTCTACAGTTTTATTGACGCGTGGTGAGTCAGAAGTGACTCGCTGGTAATGAATGGATTTGGGTTTTGGTACCAGGGACGAAGAGCTTCCATTTCAACTCCAGAATTCCTCAGTCGGGGCTACACTTCTCCTTCTGCCACTCCTGCTGTCCTCACTCCCCAACAGGTGACAATCTCTAAGCACTTTCCAACAAAACTCCTACATCTCCCTCTAAAAAAAAAATTAATTAATTTAAAAAAATCTCCCTCTCAAAAAAAAAAAAAAATCTCCCTCTCAGAGCTTTTCCAAAGAGCCCAACCTAAAACAATGACTCAGTACCCTGTGGCACATAGTAAGTGCTCAATAAAGATTTCTTAAATGAATTATCTTCGTGTTTATTTTGGCCCCACTTCTCTCCCCTGCTCCATCCCATTACCCCTCAAAGCCTTGTTCAAAATTGTTATTGTTGTTATGTACCAATCGGAACAGACTCATAGCTGACCCTCCAGAGGTTTTTCAGAGGCTGTAAATCTCATGGGAGGAAACTGCCCATCTTCTTCCCACAGAAGAGCTGGTGGATAGGAGCCGTGTGCATTTGGTGTGCAGCCCAGCTCCTTATCACTAGGCCACCACAGAGTAATGACCAATAAAAGCTCTCCTTTCAGGTGTTGAAGGGAGCTCTGGTGGTCTAGCGGAAAGAGTTGAGCTGCCTACCCTAAGGTGGGGGGTTCGAATCCACCAGCTGCTCCTCCGGAAAAAAGATGGGCAATTTCCTCCCAGGCGATTTACAGTCTCCAAAAACCTGATGGAGGATCAGCTATGGATCATTTCCCACTCGAGGGCAATGGGATTTGAGGTTCAAGTGCTGGGTGTGGAGACAGAATCCCTCGCGACCCCAGTGCCACAAACTTGAGGCCTCGGCCCCGCCCCCGCCGCAGCGGCCAGGACGCGGGAGCGGCCACCGCAGCCCAGCGCCCCAGGTTCGAGGATCCGGAGGGGCCGCCCGCTTCGCGGTCCTCCGAGACCGGCTGAGACCCGGGCGGGCGGGGCTGCCACCGACCCATCAGCTCCGCAAAGCGGTTACTTTTTAAAACGCCAAAATGGCGGATTTTTTTTTTTTATTCTTTCCCTTTGGGAGGGGAGAAAAAAAAATCTCCGTTTTCCATATCAAAATAAAAAATTTATAATAGGAAAGAAAAAGTTTGCTAAATGATCCACTTCCTAAGAAAACCAAAAACCCGCCCTGGACATCCTCCCTTCCATTAATGAAAAACTCTTAGGTGATTGCATTTCTCTTAAAAAAAAGCAAGTTAAAGGAAATAAGAGAGCCGATCGCGGCCAGCAGAGCCGAGGCGCCGGTGCAGAGCCCGCAGCCGCCCGCCCCGCTCCCGCGATCCGCCCCGGCCCCTCCACTCGGCTTCTCCGGAACATCC